AGAGAGAGAGAGAGAGAGAGAGAGAGAGAGAGAGAGAGAGAGAAACGAAACTAAGCATACATATTGAAATGGAATTCATAGTAAATATATATATAAATAAATAGGGATATAAGTAAAGGACATCCCATGTTATATCGTCAGTCATCACTAATTTGAACTTTAAAATTTTCTAAATAATATATTATACTATAAAATATTTTAAAATGTGATAAAACAATATTTATGCATTCATTCATATTTAAGTTTTGTTTACATAAAAAATTCTTAAAAATAGTAAAAATACATTCGGCAAACATTAATACTTCTACATAATTACACTATTGTTATTATATATATATTAATTATTGAAGAATTTATTATCATATAAAAAAATATGATTAGAAAATTTGTAGTTATACATGTATTGAAAGATGATGTTTTGCATCATGTTTTCCATATAAAATAAAAAATTAAATAGTTTAACTATAAGATTTTTTAATATTTTAATTTACAATTAAACTATAAGTGTTAAAATACAAATTTATCTATTAATTAAATATTACTTTGTTTTAATAAATATTTAAACAATTTAACTATATTCATATATATTTAAAATAAATATTAGCATAAACATATTTTTAATTTTATAGTTAATTTAAATATATAATCATAATGTTAATTATATATTTTACCATATTCCATAAACTAGTGGAGATGTTAACACTCGTGGCTTTCTTGTACTTCTTGCAAAAAATACATTTTTTTTTCAAAATTTCTGTTTAATTTATCAAGCTCTAAAAACTGTTATATGTATTATTACATTAGCCTTTTGATCTGATCTATTTCTAATATACAAATTTTATTAATAATTTTATAATAATACTGAATTTTTTTCAAAGGATTTCACTTACTAGTTGCTTTATTAGTATAATTTATATAGCAATCTGGTACGCGTGGACTTCTACATACTATTAACAATTCTAAAAAAATAATTTTTTTTAATTTTATGTTTAAAAAATACATATATATACATTTTATTCACTTATATACTTATATATATAAAATAAAAATAAATTTTCTATATTATTTTTAGCAATACATTTTTAATCAGGTGGTATTGCTTTTAGTAAATAATTCAGTATTGAAATTTACAGCATTCAAATAAAAATATTCTTTTCAACTTATAAATACTTTGAATGTAAAGTAATTAAAGAAACCTTGTTAAAATAAATAAGTATGTGATGTATCATATTATAAAAATAATTATAAGTTATATCGATTATATCAATTTTATTAGGAATTTAATCATAATAAAAAATTATATGAAAATAATACTAAACACCATTGGTAACTGAAAGGTTTCTCTTTTTTTTTTGTACTATATTATATTATTATACTGTATAAAATATATTATACTATTTTCAAAAATTTATATTGATTTTTTAATTATTACAATATTTGTTTTGTTCATCATATAATATTGTTATTTATAAAACAATAATGTGGGAATCATATTCAAAAACTATGTGTCAAATTCCTATAATTAAATCTTCATTATTATTTACATTCTTTTGGTATATTAATTTTTTAATTTTTTTTAAGCATAATTTTTTTAACAGAGTTTTTTCAATATTGAACATGAGTTACTTATATCTACTTTTTACATACGGTAGTCTGCGTCTGCAAAATTTATTGTATTATATAATTATACGAAATATTTCATGTTATCGTAATATTAATTGTTTGATTAAATATGTATAACTGAAAAACAATTTTAATATTATTTTATCATATGAAATAATACGAAATGACTTTTTATTTTTTTACTAGAATATTTCTATATCAATTAAAAATGAATTAATGCCTTTTACTTTTATTTAATTCCAATCTTGATTACAAATAAAGTACTTACCATTTAATTATTTTTATTATATTTAAACATACATTAATATGTATACAGAATAAATATTCATATAAAAATAATATAAATAAATAAATATACACATAAGTTGCATAAAAAAATATCTTTTGATATTTTTGAAAAATAATTGCACTCTAATTTGAACAGCAAATATAATAACTAATATTTTGTGGTTCTAATATTTTTTACAGTTTGTACACTATAAATACTACGTAAATTGAAAAAGTATTAAATAATTTAAGCAAATATTATTTCACTATATTTTAATAATGTCATTTATATTATATAAATAAAAATATAAATATATTTTAGTATTTCATTGTAGCATTCATTCAGATAAAGTAAATAACCTTTGTGCTAAGCAATTATAAAAATATATTAACAATTATACACCGAAAAAAATACACTTATAATTTTGAAAAATATTTAATGTCAAAAGTATTATTATCTTATATTTTAATAATTACACAATATTTATATATGCATATGTGTGTACGCGCATGAAGATAAGATAATATTTATATATAAGAACTGGTTTTAAAGCATAATGTTCAGGAGTGGAGCATTTTTCAAGAACTTTCGTTCTCGAAATTTTTATAACCTTTCTAGCTCTTGAAATCGTAAACAATTGATTCCGAAAATTCTCGATCATTTTAAAGCCTTTACGTTTGAACGTCCTATAATGTTTATCGAGTCTCCGCATAGCAACGACGGTTAGAATTCTCCAAGCTTCTAAAGCTTGCTTTCCGAGAATTCTCGAAACTTCTAAAGCTTTAGTCTCGAAGTCCTGTACACATCTCCACATAGTAACACCTGTCCATTGCTGCCAGCTAACTAAGCTGTCTCTTACCGGGGAGGCCGTAGAAGTCCTATTTCAGCCATCTCTGAGGGAACACGCTGTTACTACTACTGTTACTGCAGTCTGTCTCTACATTCTGGATCAAAGCGCGCTCTCTTATCGGGGACGCCGTAGCAAACTTACTTGAACCACCTAGGAGGAAACACGCTGTACTACATCTGCACCAAAACGTCACTACATTCTATTACTACACTCTGGATGAAGGCGCCACAACTTTTGTATTACTTCTGCATCAAGCCGGCACTACATTCTGTGCTGCATCTGCATTAAAACGCCAACATGCGGCACTACATAAGGAGTCTCCAGAGATTTACTACCTCTCAATTCTCAGTCTAGCAACCCTCCACCAAGTGCACTAAACCAAGAGGATCCGCAGATTTACAACCTCCAACCTCGACTTCCACCACTAAAAAACGCAAAATCTCAACAATTCTCACCATCAACGTAGAAGCATAATTGTGTATTTGTAAATTAAAACTTAATAAATAGCACGAAAATCAAATGTGTTGATTACTGAATTGAAGCATTAACCTCTCCACTTATTCACACTTTTCCACCAGTAAAATGGTGGACGTGATCTAATCCTACCATGTTAGTCCTTCGACCACCAGGTGACTGGAATTTCGAACACATGATAATTTAAAGAAATATTTAAAGTAATATATAAGAAACATATAATAAATACTAATTATTCGAACTATTGATAGACAAAATATTTTATGTATATAAGCATATAGTAAGCTAATATAGTTATTATGGTTTGAATACAAGAAGTGTGTAGAAATCGGAGCAGATGAAATATATCGTTTGCTAAAAATTTCCATTATAAATTAATAACAAAAACTTGTTTTTCTGTATTTAAAGATAATTCATTTTTATGGTGTATTATTGAACTAAAAATTAAGTACAAAAATAATTTATTTTAAATCATAAATAAAAACTTATTAAAATTCTATTATATATCCTAAATGTCATAACGATATAGAACAGATATTTACTAATATGTTTATGTATATTAGAATAATAAATTCAATATTGAATGTTCAATTTTACAGATTAAAAAAATT